CCTTTTTCCAACTATTAATGCATGTTTACACCTGTTTCTCTTCATTTTGAGTTGTGCCCCATCAGCAAATGAAGGTCCTGAGGACTTGAACTCCATTTTCTTCATCAAGGTCAACTCTACTTTGAGGAGTGAGCGCTTCCCCAGGCTCACCTTAAGTGCCTTCCAACCTGAGGGACTCATCTTCCAGCACTCTATCTGACAATAATATTCTGGTGCTCTTCCTCATGTTTTAATACTAAATAATCGGTTGCTGACAGTGTTCCACTGCTATTCAAAAGGTTTTCAGAAGTAGTCCATCTCTTCTTCTTCTTAGTCTGGCTTCATCTGGAAACTCAGCTGAAACCTGTCCACAATGGTATTTAAAATATCTGAGGCATAGCCTTCCCAATCAAAGCAGCACACAAGCCACCACAATACGACAAACTGACAGATGAGTGGTGGGTTGTTGTTGGTAAATGCCTTTAAGTCAATTCCAACGTATAGAAAACTTATATAGGGTTTCTGAAGTTATGTATCTTTGCAGGACTAGACAGCCTCATCTTTCTCCCACAGCATGCATTCTAGTGCTTATCCTACAGAGTTACCATGCAATAGAACTGCTCCCTAGGGTTTCTGAGGCTCTAAATCTTTATGGGTACAGAGGGCTTCACCTTTCTCCCAAGCAGCAGCTGATGGGTTTGAACTGCCAAGCTTGCAGTTAGCAACTCAGAGCCTAACAACACACTGTGCCAACTGGACTCCTTAAACCTATCAAAAAGTTCATGAGAAAATGAAATTAAAAGATAATGGTGAAGATGTTTGGAATCAACTGGTCCACTGGACCAATGGTACAGGTGAGCATCAGTCACCATAACTCTGAGACAAGAAGAACTAGATGGTGCCAGGCTACCACTACCAACTGTTCTAAAAGGGATTACATTAGAAGGTCCTGGATAGAGTAGGAAAAAAATGTGGAACAAAACTCAAAATTATAAATAAACAAAGACCAGGCTTACTGGCCAGAAGGAGACTGGAGAAACCTGAGACTATGACACTTGGTCACCCTTCAGGTGTGAAACAGAAATCACCCTCTTGGCCCAATTTTAAAGCAAGCAATAGATAGTTATATGGGGACAAGAATACTAGCAAGGTATGCTCACCATGTAAATTGTCAATCATTCAAAATCAAAAGGGCAACATTTACCTAAAGACAAAGTTAAGAAGGGATGGGGAGGTGGTGAGTGGAACGGAAACAGGAACCACAGGGAGGAAGTGGGATAACTGTTGTTGCATGGAGGGAATTGCAATCTTTTAGATGAAACAAAGTGTATGATTTGTTGAAGGTAACACTAATGACCTTCTTTGTACATTTTCACTCAATTCACAATAAAAGTTTAAAATAAAATAAAAGATAGTGGAATTTTCCACAAATAATTTTGAAGCCCTCTCATATAATTTGCATACCCACTGGGATGAGTTAATAAACAGGGGAGTTGTCATTACAAATGATCAACGTTTAGGGCCTTCACATGTCTTAATGCGGCACTGGTTCTGGGTTAGACAGATTCTAAGTACTGTGCATGTATAAACACAAAATTCTCACAACAACCTGCAGAGTTAGATGCTATTACTATCCCCATTTTATAGACAAGAAAACTGAGGCACCAAAAGGCTAAGTAACACACACAGCTAGGAAGTAGCAGTCAGGAATAAAGCCTAGGAAATCAAGCTCCAGAGCCCACTCTCTTAACCACTGCATAACCCTTTATCCATAAGAAAGTATCTCCCCCGCTTTAGACCTAAGCCTTTACCTTCAGAGTTAAAAGCAGTATTTGTTCAACAAACATTAGTTTATTTTGTGCCTGGTCTTAGTCTTCCGGATCGTCAGCAGAATAGTAACAGCAGTAGTAGAAATAGTAGTAGTATTGCTAAGAGCATACAGATAATACACTCAAAAGAATTCCATAATAATATAAGTACAAAATTTTATAAAGCTCTTTGTTTTAATGTCTCTCATTAAAGGCTTATTATATTACACCAAAGAACAATTCTGAAAAAGCAATTCTACACCACTCTAAAACAATGCAATCAACCTGTTGAGCTCTCTGATATCCTGACTTGATCCAAGTAAAAACTGATTAGCAGTTCTCAAAGGCTGTTGCTTCTATTACATTTTTAATAAGAATTGGGCAGCAGAGTAAGTGGATACATACTTGCTAGAGTAAAACCAGTTGCCACAGACTTGCTTTCAACAGAATTATGCTACATAAGGTTTCAGAAGTAGATTACCAGGTCTTTCTTCCAAGACTCCATTGGCAGACTCAGACCTCCAACCTTTGGGTTAACAGCTGAACACATTAACCTTCTGCACCATCCAGTGCCCCCTGCTAGAGTAACGCTATTCCATAATCCGAAATGCAGGCAGCATGTATATTTTCATAGTTAATTAAGTACAGAATAGGGTTAATATCCTCTTAGGAAAATTGTTAAGTGTGATGAGTCAGTTCTGACTCAGAGCAACCCTGAATAGAGTTTCCAGGGAGTGGCTGCCGAGTTTGAACCATCGATCTTGGGATTAGCAGTCTAGTGTTTATCCTACAGTACCCACACCAATTATGGGATCTATGTTAGCATCAATATTGGTCAGAATCAACTTGATGGCAATGCGTCTGGAGCTTGCAGAGTTAACCACTGAAATGGAGTCCTGGTGTGCTGTGGGCTAATGCAATGTGTTGCAGAGTAAGTTTGAACCGCAAGGTTGGCAGTTCAAGCTTACCAGTTGCCCTTGGAAATGATGTGCTGGGTCACTATGAGTCGAAACCAACTCAATGTCACTTAACAACAACAACAAAGCAACCCTGATGGTGTGAAAGCTAAGCATTGGTCTTCTAACTACGAGGTCATCAGTTCAAACCCACAAATCACTCCAATGGAGAAAGATGAGGCTGTCTGCTCCCATAAAGATTTATTGTTTCAGAAACCAAAGGAACAGTTCTACTCTGTTCTACAGGGTTGCTATGAATAGGAATCAACTCGATGGCAGTAGGTTTGGTTTGGGGGTTTAAGCATGAAAGAGTCAGAATACACAGCTAACCTACCTCTCCAGGGAAGTCAGTCAAGAAAGTATTTTCTTATGTTGTTGTTGTTGTTAAGTCATAGCATTCCTGATACGGTTTCCAAGGAGCAGCTGGTGGGTTTGAACCACCGATCCTGCAGTTACCAGTTCAGTGCTTATCCTACAGTGCCACACCAAGACAAATATCCCCTTAACAATAACTGAGTCTGCATCAGTGCATAAATGGGCAATTGAATCTTCAAGCTATACTTCATTCATTATACTAACAATTTTGGCCTGGAAATATTTCAAACTAAGAGTTCCCAGCATTTTAGCCAGTTATAAAATTACCTCAATTTGGTACCTATAGAGCATCCAATTGAGAAATGTACCTTCCAGCTAATTAAGAAGTGAATTGGGCAGCTATATAGAGTTATGCAATACAAACTAACTAAACATCAAAAAATATATGGAAAAATAAATAAATGATTTGGATTCTGTAGTAGTAAATCTACTCTTTCTTTCTGAACTAACTACATAACAGAGTCATTTCTAGTTGGTATATCACTGTTGTTGTTGTTAAGTGCCGTTTAGTCGGTTCTGACCCATACCGACCCTGTGTAGGGTTTCCAAGGAGCAGCTGGTGAGCTTGAACCACTAACCTTTCAGTTCAAACGGCTTTGCAGTCTGGTGCATTAACCTACAGCACCATACAAGGACTCCATAATATATCATAAGCATACTGAAATACTAGATAGCAAAGCCATTTCTAGTTGTTATAAATATATCACAAGCATACTGTGAATAGAAAACGATTTTTTAAAAAGAAGAAGAAGACAAACATCCCAATAGAAAAATGAACAAACATGATATGTTGCATTAGGCAAAACTGCTGTAAAAGACATCTTTAATCTGTTCAGGAAACAAGATATCAATGTGAGGGCTACCATTATTCTGACCCAAGCCACGGTATTTTCAATAGTCTCATATGCATATAAAAGTTGGACAATGAATAAGGAAGACAACAGAAAATTCATGCATCTGAATTACAGTGTTAGAGAAGAATATTCAAAGTACCATAGGCTGCCAGAAGAACAAACAAATCTGTGTTGGAAGAAGTATAGCCAAATGCTCCTTAGAAGCCAGGATGGTGAGGTTTCATCTCTCATAATTTGGACATGTTATAAGGAAGAAGCAGTTCCTGGAGAAGGACATCAAGCTAGATAAAGTAGAGAGTCAGTGGGAAAAAAGTAAGAATCCTAATAAGATGGATTAGCACAATGGCAGCAGCAAAGGCTCAGGAGTAACAATTGTGAGGATTAGCAGTGTTTACTTCTGTTGAGCATAGGGTTGCTATGAATCAGAGACAACTCAATGGCACCTAACAACATCTCCTGCACTGCTAAGGAGAAAGAAGAAGGAATTCTATACTAGAGAACAATGACTAACCAGGCTACCCCAGACTTTTTTTGGATAAGAGTCCTTAAGAAAGGTCAGTTTCTTAATTGAATATAGAGATCATCTCAAGTACAGATTTGATGAATTTGTCACTAATGACTGAAGACCAGAAGAGTTGTCGGTTGATATCAAGAATATCATACAGGAAGAAAGCTTAAGGTCACAAAGAAGACAAGAAAGAAGGAAAAGACCAAAACAGTTGTCAGAAGAGACTCTGAAACTTGCTCTCCAACATAGAGACACTACAGCAAATGGAAGCTATGAGAAGGTAAAAAAGCTGAACAGAAAATTTCAAAGGGCAGCTCGAGAAGACAAAGTCAAACATTATAAAGAAATGCTCAGCATTTCTCAAGTTGAGGGAACTGACAAAAACATTCAAGCCTTGACTTGAAACACTGAAGGATTCTATGGGCAAAATACTGAATGATGCAGAAAAGCATCAAAAGAAGATAGAAGAAATACACAGAGTCACTGTATCAAAAAGAAGTAGTCTAGCCTGGTCACCAAGATGTCGTTCCCAAAGTACAAACCATCATGCCTGGCCACTCTACCCACTACCCTCAACCCAGCCAACTACGACATATCTCCAGAGACCCGGCGGGCTCAAGCTGAGCACCTGGCTATAAGGTCCTGGCTTAAACAGGTGTATCTGCTTCAGTTCAACAACCCCAAATGCCGAACACTCATCAAAGATCCTGCCTTGGCTCATTGGACCTATGCCCCAATATCTATCCCTAATTTCAGGCCCACTCCCAAGACTTCAAGTAACTCTGGTAGCATAGTGGTTACGAATCGGGCTGTGAACCGCAAGGTCAGCAGTTCAAAACTACCAGTTGTTTTGTGGGCGAAAGATGAGGCTTTCTGCCTCCGTAAAGATTTACAGCCTTGGAAACCCTGTACAGGGTCGCTATGAGTTGGGAACAACTCCACGGCACATAACCACCACCACCCAAGACTTCACTCTTAGGAGATGTGTTTGGTTGGCATTGGGCCCCTTTTCTTCTGGTATTATGTTTTCAAAACCAACAGGGATAAGAAAGAAAAACTGATCCAGGAAGGAAAACTGGATCGAACATTTAATCTCTCCTATTAAGTCTGTAATGTATTTTTGCTTAAATAAATCTTCAATTACTCAAAAAAAAGAAAAAGTAATAGTCTATGTTCAACCATTTCAAGAGGTAGCATACGACCCAGAGCCAATAGTAATGAAGGAAAAAGTCCAATGTGCAATGAAGGCACTGGCAAAGAACAAGACTCCAGAAATAGATGGAATACAAAATTGCAATCTTTCAGATAAACCTCCACTATACTTCTTCCAATACAGATTTATTTGTTCTTCTGGCAGCCTGTGGTACTTTGAATGTTCTTCTCTAACACCAAAATTCAAATGCATGCCAAGAATTTGGAAGAAAACTACCTAACCAATTGATTGGAAGAGATCCATATTTGTGCCCATTCCAAAGAGAGATGACCCAGTGGAATGCAGAAATCATCGGACAATATCATTAATATAGCATGTAAGTAAAATTTCACTAAAGATAATTCAAAAACGGATGCAGCAGCAGTACATTCACAGGGAGCTCCAGAGGTCCATTAACAACCTGCAATATGCAGATGATACAACTTTGCTTGAATAGAACTTAAACTACTTACAGATGAAGATCAAAGACCACAATCTTTGGTATGGATTGCTCTCACTGTAAAGAAAACAAAGGCCCTCACTACTGTATCAATAAATAACATCAAAATAAATGTAGAAAAGACTGAAGTTGTCAAAGACTTCATTTTGCTCAGATCAATCACCAACATTCCTGGAAGCAGCACTGAAGAGATTAAACAATGTACTGCATTAGACAAATCTGCTGTACAAGACCTCTTCAAAGAGTTCAAAAGCAAAGATGACAGTTTGAGGACTAAGGTGCACCTGACCCAAGCTATGGTATTTTCAATAACCTTAGATGCATATAAAAGTTGGACAATGAATAAAGAGGACCGTGGAAAATTTGATGTATTTGACTTACGGTGTTGGAGGAGAATATTAAAAGTACCATGGATTGCCAGTAAACAAACAAATCTGTGTTAGAATTAGTACAGCCAAAATGCTCCTTAAAAGCCAGGATGGCCAGACTTCGACTCTCATACTTTGGTCATGTTATCAGGAGGGACCAGTCCCTGGAGAAGGACATTATGCTTGGTGAAGTGGAGCGTCAGCGAAAAAGAGAAAGAACCCCCCACGAGATGGACTAGGACAGTGGCAGCAGTAGTGGGCTCAAGTGTAGCAACGACTGTGAGGTTGGCACAGGACCAGGCAGTGTTGCATTCTGTTGTACGTAGGTTGCTATGTGTTGGTACCGACTAGATGGCCCCTAACAACCAGGCTATATGCTCGCCAATCCACAACTGGTTTCCAATTCAATTTCCCAAAAACCTGCAACCAGTAAGAATTCCTAGGCATTGCTTCTATTAGCATTCCAGCACCCAAAAAACAACTGCCTATTTTTTAAGTAAATGAATAAGTATCATTATGTTTTAGTCAACAGAATTCAACCAAATGCTTTAATATCTATGTATGTGAAACACTGCAGAGGACAAATTATGATTCCTTTTTGCCATTCTCATACCCCAATTTGCAAGGTTGCCGTTATTGTTAAGCGTCATTGAATCATTTCTGACATAGCAACCCTAATAGGTTTTCCTAGGAGCAGCTGATGAGTGTAAACTGCCAACCTTGTGATTACTAGTCCATTGATTATCCCACAGTGCCACACTAAGACTCTTATATTTGAGAGGTGTTAAGTGCCATTGAGCCAGTTCTGACTCATAGCAACCATGTATAGGGTTTTCATAAAGCAGCTGGTAGATTTGAACTACTGACATTGTGATTGCCAGTCCAGAGCTATCCTTCAGCACCATACTAGGACTCCACATTTGAGAGGCAGAATACACTGGGGGGGAGGAGGGGGAGGGGGGAATTGACACAGTACAAGGCAGTATAAAGAATTAAATGAAAAAATAAATACAAAAAGAGTTCATAGAAGGAAAAGATTACTTGTAAATTTTATATCCTGACCCACTTCTAAGTCTGAAACTCAAAGGGAACAACACATGAGCAGGCATGTAAAGCTTGCTGGCAACTACACTAGTCTACTGGTTAAGTGGAAGAGGGGAAAAGGCAGCTATGAAGAAATGGTCTGAGTTCAACTACATTCCATAGACTCCCGATGACCTGAAATGAGAAAGAGAAGAGGAAGGACTGGTTGGTACAAAAGTGTGGTGAGACCTGGGGACACCTGAGCCCACAGACAAGGACACAGCCATGGAGGGCTAGAACTGAGAGTGAAGCATCCAACTTTTAAGACGTGAGGGAAGACATACAGGAACACCCAAACCTGCAGATAGTACCCATCTGACCTGGCCTCGAAGGCTTGATAATCAGAATGCGAGTGTTGTTTGTTAAGTGCTGTAGAGTTGGTTCCAACCCATAGCAACCCTGTATAGGATTTCTGAGAAACAGCTGGTGAGCTTGAACCACTGACCTTGCAGTCCAAAAACAGAGGACCCTAGGACCATCAAGGGAGAAGAGCACAAGCGGAATGCAGAACCCTATCCTGAGAAGCATTGACACCAGAGATGG